TTTTATTTATTTTTTTACAAATCCAAATCGCTTGAAATTTTAAACGTGTGTTCTTCTCATTAAGACACACCTAAAAAAAATATAAAAAAATTATTTACGGAAAGAAAAATGACCAAAATACCCCCAAAACTTTTTGGGGGTATTCTAGTCAATTTATTTCATGTAAAATATTTTTTTGATATTTTTTGAAAATTCACCTATTTTTTATAAACACGCGTCTAAATTTTCATGTGATTTAGATTTATAGAAAATCAAATAAAATTCAAACATTACCGGACATCTGTGATCATCAGATCGACCCAGATTCAATCTGGACCGTTGGACTCATATGTTCATATGAGTTAGTGGGCTAATCCTAGCTTTTTCCTCTCTCTCTCTCTCTCTATATATATATATATATATATATATATATATTAAAACACTCAGCCAAGTCTCTCGGGCTCAATCCCTAGTGAGTATGGAACTGAGTCTATGTCTTAAAACTTGCTATGTACACATAAAGAGAGATTCTTGAGTATAACTAATTTTATTGAACCAAACCCCTAATCTCCAAAATTTTGAGATTCTTCTTTCTTCTTCTTTTTTACCATTTTTTTTATTACGAATTTTTACCATTATGAGATTTTAATCACAAAATAGAAAGGTGCATTGCATGCATGTGCCTCTCATATCTAAATTGTGTAGGGAGCTGCAAATCCAAGGCAATATATTTTCCTCCCCTCATGCATATGTAAATTTGTTTCCCGAATAAATAAACTTGAAAGATGAACCATGTTTTCAGTCAATCTCATTCATATAAAGTTAATATCATGTTTGAGTCACATAAGAAGAGACAATTCATCATGTTTAAGATACATAAGTAGAGAAAATTCATCATTTTTAAGTTACATCATCATTACCATGGTATGCTTATCCCAACTATTTGAAGTATCATGTTTAAGTTACATAAGAAGAGAAAATTTAAAGAAAGCAAGCACCACTCTATCTCCGTGGTTACAATTCATTGTATATTCATAAACAACACAGTTACAACAGATAAAAGCAGGTCTAGTTAAAGCTCCAACTGTGGAAAGATGCAAGATGGGGATCTCCAAGTGCAATTACATTGCAAGAGCCTCTTCACTTTCTTTCTCACTCTCTGGTGATTATAATTTTTTCTCACAGTAACTTATCAATATCATGCTTCTCCTTGTGTGTGAAACCATGTAAAGAAGATGTAAAATGCAAAGCATATGTTACCTCATTCTCGAACTTGACCACTATCCAATAGAAAAAATCTTGAGGACCAATAAATCACAACTCAAACATGAATTACCATTTTAAGGGGGATAAACTCTCGTTCCGAACGGATTGGGATCGGGTTATTTGGGAAAACCCTGCAAGAATGTGGTTGAACCGTGAGCAAATGAAATCACCTCATCACAGACTCTTTCACGAAGGAACGTCCACCGGAGCTGGAAAAAAATTATTGCAAAGAGAATGCAGTGAGCTGGCTTGAAAAAAGAAAACTAATGTTAAAGATTTTGAATTTCATTCTTCATCAGTAAATAAATAAAAGAAAAGAAGACTCTTGACATGGTATCAGCATTTTTAGACTTCGGAAAAATATTGGGGCAAAACCCCCTCTCTCTCTCTCTCTCTCTCTCTCGTGAGTACATGCATGTCTCAAGGTATTATTGCATCTTGTGTATAGCTCTCTCACTCACTCATAGAATTTGCATCCTTTGACCGAAAATTCCCCGAATGGCCAGAACAAAATTTCCAAGCACAATGCAAACTCACGTGTATTCTAGGTGAATATTCAAGAACCGTGGATTCTCTTTGCTCTGTGAAAGGGTTAATGAGCCTTCGATGACCTGATCTTGCTTAACGTCCACTGGTTCATAGAAATAGAGCAAGGTCTGCAAGAACGTTCAATAACATTTACATAATGACCTTCCTAAAAAAACATTTATATAATGACAACGCATTACATACTAAACTTTCCAATCAACCTATATCCAAAACGAAGGAAATAAGTAAGCAGAAATAAACAATAAGTTTCCCAAAAGCTCTTATTTCTCAGCCTGCTAATACTAGATTGATGAACATAAGAGGAAGGTGACAGCACCAAAGAAGAAACATCATTCGAGGAGATATGTCGAATTTAGTGTAAGTTATTAGGCACATATCTTTCATCCTGAAGCTGGTTGTCCCAAATGACACTTAAACCAATCAATGGATTGTGTGGTTTCTATTAATAAGAAAACAAGCATGTCCACGAAAAATAAAACTAATTAAAAAAATACAAAAATCAGGTATTCTGATCACTCAAAGAATGCAGCCATATTCATTTGGGAAAATTCAAAGAGTGCCTCCATGTTCAAATGAGATACTTCTGTTCTTTGGGATTTCTTATCCTTGTGGGTCCCAATAATTCCCCACTACCAATTATCATGTTTAGTTTTGAACCCCATGGATTATTGATTTGCATACTATATCAGATCAAAGTATAAACTCTCTTTTTCTTTTGTCAAAGAAGACATCAACGGATCAGATACTTCTATACTTCTCCCAAAGGAAAAACAACATGACAACATCGTCTATTCTCAATATGGACAATTCAAGAAAGGAAATATATACAATGAAACCATTTATTTTTAATACATAGAGCTCACAATCATCATTGACCTTTAGATTTAAAATTGGGTGGTTGAGAATGTGTCACTGTTTATGCACAAATTCCAAAACAAAATATTCTCAAATATTATAACATACTTTTATCTATTTGATTTCACATCCAAGGGCTAAAAATAATTGTGCCCTCCTTGTACTAAAAATAAAAATAAATGGTCTCATAGTATTCAATCCCTTAAAGAACAAGAACAGAACAAACTCATATAGTATATACCTTTACTCAAAAAAAAGCTCATATAGTATATACCTGTTGCCAATGGGTTGGTTCATCCTCTGGTGCTGTAGACAATACAAGAGTCTCCATTGATTTTGCCCGTTTTCTTCTTTGATTTGAACCATTTGCACAGGCATCAGAAGACACAGTAGTGCTATCACCCAACAAGGATGTACTGCCTTCTCCCAATGAGGATGGGGAATGGTTGTCATTTGGCATGTTAGCAGGACCAGCAAATTCAACATCGAACCAAAATGCAAAGCCGTGCAGTGGAGCTGCCAAATAGCAATAAGTTAGCATGAATATCGAGCTTAAACTAATTAAGATGGGGAATTCAACTGCATAAAGTCAAGTAATATACATACATAAATTCAAGTAATATATATATATATATATATATATATATATATATATAT